ATCTAGACCGAACCTGGCTGGAGAACCTAAACCGAACCTGGCTGGAGAACCTAGCGAGAGAACATGGCTACAGAACCTGGCTGGAGAACCTAAACCGAACCTGGCTGGAGAATCTAGCGAGAGAACATGGCGACTGAACCTGGCTGGAGAACCTAGCTGGAGATCCTAGACAGAACTTGGCTGGAGAACTGGCTATAGAACCTGCCTGGAGAAACTGGAGAACCTGGCTGGAGAACCTAGCAAGAGAACATGGACATAGAACTTGGCTGGAGATTGTGGCTAGAGATCCTGGCAAGGCTGCTGATCAACTGAACGCTGTCTCCGTGTCATTCCTTCTTCGCCGACTCTGTCCACACCTTTGGGGACCCCTGGACCTGCTGGGGTCGGACCCCGGCACTGCTCCTGGGGCCGCTTCCCCTCTGGACAGAGGAGGCCGGGAGTGCTGGGGTCCAACCCCAGCAGATCCAGGGGTCCCCAAAGGTGTGGCCGGAGTCGGCGAAGAAGGAATGACACGGAGACAGCGTTCAGTTGATCAGCAGCCTAGCCAGGATCTCCAGCGGAGTTCTGGTTAGGATCTCCAGCCAGGTTCTATGTCCATGTTCTCTTGCTAGATTCTCCAGCCAGGTTCTGTAGCCATGTTCCCTCGCTAGGTTCTCCAGCCAGGTTCAGTCACCAGGTTCTAGTCAGGTTCTCTTGCCACGTTCTATCCAGGTTCTGTCTCTAGGTTCTTCAGCCAGGTTTTCTCGTTAGGTTCTGTCTCTAGGTTCTTTGGCCAGTTTCTGTCCAGAATCTTTTGCCATGTTCTCTCACTAAGTTCTGTGTGGGTTCTGTCTTCTATGTTCTGTCTCTAGGATCTTCATCTAAGTTCTGTGTCCTGTTGTCTTGTTACATCTGTATTTATACCAGTTGATTCCAATCCTATCAATCTCTATTCCAAAGGTTAGGGCGTTTCTTATCTCCATTCCAGGGAGTAAAGATTATGTAGCTTAAGTATGATTGTTCGTAGTTAAATGATTAATTACCCGCCTGGCACTTAGTGAAGGGGTTTTATTCCCTCCCTAACTTCAGGGGAAAATCTCTACCTGGGGAAACAACCTTTCTCGGAGAGGTGACCTTGGTTAAAACACATAGTGCCAAGAAGGTGAGCAAACATATTAAGAACATTATGCCATATATGCCAGGTCCCTTGAAACAGCAAGGATGGACCGGCTCCCAGCACGGGAGGACCGGGAGGATGCAGCTGGGGGTTGGGGGGCCGCTGCCTGTGCTGACGGCTCTGCCCATTGAGGCAGGAAGCGGGGGGGATGTGGACCAGGACATCCCAGAGCCGGCGGGGGCGGGGCGTGCGGTGCTCAGAAGCTGCGGGTGAACGTGGTGGGGCCTGGCCCCGGTGGGTGGGTGATGGGATGGCGGACGGACAGGCAGAGGGAGGGAGGGAGGGCTGGGTCAGCAGGTGGGTGGGGGAGGAGGGACAGAGGGACTGAGTGCCTTGGACAGGGCAGAGCAGATGGCACACGGCCCACATCAGCCCTCTGAGGGCACAATTCACACCCATAAGCTCCCCATCGTGACCTCTGCAGAAGTACAAGGTCATGGAATTCTAACCGTGGTCCAGGCTTAAGATATTCCCATCAGCCCTAGTGAGTTGGCTCCGCGGATAGAGCATCAGCCCACAGACTGAAGGATCCCGGGTGCGACTCTGGTAGAGCGTGTGCCTCGGTTGTAGGCTGTGTGGGCCCGGCTGCTCCGTGAGGCTCTGGGAGAGGCGCTGTGGCCCTGCTCGCTGGCCTTCGTGGCTCCAGTGGTCGGTTCTCGGGGATTCAGGCAGGGAGTCAGAGGCTACGTTTACATTTAACTATTTTTATTGATTTCAGAGAGGAAGGGAGAGGGAGAGAGATCGAAACATCAATGAAGAGAGAGAATCATGGATGGGCTGCCTCCTGCACGCCCCTCCACTGGGGATTGAGCCCACAATCCGGGCCTGTGCCCTGACAGGGAGTCGAACCCGGGACCCTTCCGTCCGCAGGCCAACGCTCTATCTACTGAGCTACACTGGCCAGGGCTGCCAAAGGGCTACACCCTTCATTCCCACACACGTTCCAAGTTCCAGGTGCAGGCGGGTGCGGGCTCTGTGTCCTGGTCCCAGGGGCGATGCCCCACATGAGCTGTGGCCCCCCCAGTGGCCGGGCCCACTTGCTCCCTGACAACATGGGGATCACAAAGCCATGCCAGGGGTCACACAGCCATGTGGGGGGTCACACAGCGGGCCCCAAGCTCCAGGCCTGTAGTGCCGCCTCCCCGCTCCCGCCCCCGCATTGCCGTGGTGGGGGGGGGAGCAGGGAGGGTCTAATTCAGGCTGAGCTGAGCGTGTGACTGCCCAGCTGCTGGCGCCAGGGCTGTTTACAGGCCGGGCTCCCGCCGCTATTTATAGACACAGCCTGGGGCCCCGCTGAGCTGTCAGCCCCGCTGTCCCCTGGTCCCCGCCTGGGTCTTCCTCAGGGAGGGCCAGCATCCCCCGCCCCCACGGGCGGGCAGAGGGAAGCGCCCTCAGCTGCCACGACCCTAGCAGGTCCCTCTGCGCAGCCCAGCTTCTTTCCTCCGGAAACAAGCGAACAGAACCCTCCGGAACTCTGGGTGCCCCCTGCTAAACCCAGCCCCTTCCTCACCCACACAGCCAGCTATTGCGCCCAAACTCCTGAGCCCCTGAGCCCCGAGCCCCGGCACCGCCCCCTGGCCCCCTCCTCACCCGCTCGGCCTCTGGTGGCATTCAGAAACACGCCCGGCCCTCCGGCCTGGCCCCTGCCCCCAGGGCTGGTCTCGGGACCCCACCCTGCCAGTCACCAGGAAGTGGTGGACATGATGCCGGCACCCACACAGTGTGGTGTTTATCCCGGATGGTGCTGAGGGGCGGGAACTGTTGGTGTCCCCATGCGCACAGAGGGCTGGGCCCCGAGGGGCCAGGGGCCGAGTGACCAGCCCAGGTCAGAGCCCGCTCCCACCTGGAGGAGGAGGGGGGGGAGGAGAGGCACGGGGGCAGCGCAGCCCTGGGGGCTGACCCTTACGCTCCATGATGGCCGGGGTGACAAGCCCGGTCCACTCCCTTCTTCCTGGGAGTGCCGTCCCCCGTCCAGCCTGGGAGCACCAGGAGCCCCCCACCTTGGCTCTCCAAGCCCTGGACAGGGTGAGTGCATGGGCTCTGGGCCCCTCTGCAGGGCAGGCCCCAGGGACGGGAGAGGGGCTCAGGGTGTCCCCAGGGACCCATCGCTGGCCCCTTCTCCAGACCCAAGCAAGAGTCCATTTGGGGCCCTGATCGGTTTGGCTCAGTGGATAAAGCGTCGGCCTGGGGACTGAAGGGTCCCGGGTTCGATTCCAGTCAAGGGCATGTACCTTGGTTGCCGGCATATCCTCAGTAGGGGGTGTGCAGGAGGCAGCTGATCGATGCTTCTCTCTGATCGATGTTTCTGACTCTCTATCCCTCTCCCTTCCTCTCTGTAAAAAATCAATAATATATATATATTTTTAAAAAAGAGTCCATTTGGGGCCCAGCCGCATGGCTTTGTGGTTGAGCGACGACCTATGAACCAGGAGGTCACATTCGATTCCCGGTCAGGACACAGGCCCGGGTTGTGGGCTCGATCCCCAGTGCGGGCTGTGCAGGAGGCAGCCGATCCATGATTCTCTCATCGTTGATGTTTCTCTCTCTCCCTCTCCCTTCCTCTCTGAAATCAGTAAAAACGTATTTTTTAAAGAGTCCCTTGGGGAGTGGGGGTGGGGGTCGGGGGTGGCCCAGGCAGGGCACCCAGCTCAGAACTCAG